TAGGACAAGAAGCAAATACTTCCGGGGATGAGGGTTTCACTGTGGGTAAAGCACTTCTTTCCTTTCCTTAGTTTTCCCAGTGACATGAAAATGTACTGACGTAACTTTAATCAGTTCTTGTTTTGGGCTTGCGTAGGAAACCTTGGGCAGACTGACCTACCTAGACTCACAAAAAGACAATTTCTAGGCACACGATGAGTCCTCACCTGCACTAGGAAGGCTCCCATCATGTCCAAATAATGAGCGATATGAGGGGAAAAAAGCTAACAGCTGAATACCTTTTGCACTCTGCTACAAGGTTGTCCATAATCTGGAATAGTGCAAGACCATCATGTCAGGTTTTCATTAAAGAAAGAAAAAAAAAAAGGGGGAGGATTTTGAGGACCATTCCAATAAGAGGCCCTGGAGGGATACGTTAATTAACCAATCAGAGAATTAGCTGCATCCATGGGCCTGGTGGTAAGGATGGCTCCACAGTGGCTAATTTCATCCCAACTTGATCTCATTGTAGTGTCATGAAAGCTCAAATGTTCAAGGACAATAGCTACCAAAAAATCAGTTTCCGCAACTCAGAATGAAACTGGAGTGCGATGCAGAGGCAGCTGTCCTCAGTTGAAGTTGGTTAATTCTGACAGCGCTTTCTGCCCAACCTCTTCCCTATTGTTCTGACGCTCTCCCTCCTGGACTGTGACCCCGTCTCCTTCTGATGACAATCACTTAATCAGCACATCAGATTGTCGCACGGCTGCTTTTACCTTGGGTAAAGATTCATTTTCCTTATTAACATCGCAAGAACCTATTTCTTTCCCCAACCAATTAAAGAGGAAAAATAGAAGGGCCCAGTGCGATAGAGGGAAAAGAAAACTGTTCTGACTTGCGGCACCTGGGCAGGTCACTCAGCCCCACATGGCCCTGGGAATTGAGTTCTGATGATTCTGCAATGCAATCAGAGGTCAGGACCGGAAAGATAAAGTTATGTAGGTTGGAGTAACTGGCGCAGACGCTGCTCACTCTCTAGGTATCAGCTCACCAAAGTCAGAAAGCACCCAGTGTCGGCAGACTTAGTATGCGAGTGTGCCAGTTTGTGTAGTTCAGATAGCCCACGTTCAGGGGTAACCGCAACCGTCTGCAGGACTTAGCTGCCTTCCTTCCATTCGCTGGCAGTATGAGTGCTGGTTTCTTCTGGGCTGTTGCTCACCAAGCATGCTAACATCTACTTTATCTCTTTATTATCTAAGAAATGCCCATCTGAGTCTACTATAGTTCATAGTGATTTTGGCCTAACAAGCATTCTACGGCTCCTTCACACCCCACTACTATTACAGCCTTTGGACGACCTTCTGTTAAATCCCCAGTACTAATGAGGAGTGGTGGCAGGTGATAGGCACGTGGCAGGTGATAGGGACTAACACCCATTTTAACACTATGTTTAGAGAATAAAACCCTTCTAACTATCCCGTGTGCTTTCTGATTTATTCATAAGAATAAACTGCAGCTCATCCAGATAGCACTAAGATATTCCAAAGACATCCATGCACAATGTGGTTGTTGTGGATTCAAAGCCTATTATGTATGCAATTCTGCAGCCGTACCTTATATTCGACTTGTTAGAAAGGGGAATGTAAAACTCACTGCTTGTTAGAATCCAGTCTGCCAATAACTTAGCTCTACCAGTTACCAAAGAAATGTTACACCTCCTACTGTATTTAAACCTTTAGCAATATGTACCACATTTCAAAATGTAAATAATTGGGTTGCAAATTCCAGAAATGCATCTGGCCAAACACAGAGAGAGCCTGAGTTTTAGCAGTCTGTGCTTTGATCCTTATTGTGCACCCTCACCTCTCCCCGAGTCTGTCATCTGGCTTCCCTCAGCACAGTCCACGTAATCCACAGGCGCTGATGTGAACGGTTCAGCTGCCTATCTGCAATGACCCCAAGAAAGCCACTTCACCATGACCTTTTGAAAGCCGGCCACGGACAACTCAAGTCCTCGACACTAAGCACCCACAATTCTGCCTTCCCTCAAATTTTCCAAGGCATTGTTTGCCGACTAGGTGCCATTTCATTCGTATTTATTTTCTATTTTCAACAAAACAGCATTTGAGGCTGTGCTGGGGAAGGACCAAAGCGCCCCGCTTCCCTCTCTGACTGTCAGTATCCCCGAGGAGGAGGACGGATTCTGAGCTTGTAAATTGTGGCATTTACTTTCAATGACATGACAGGAGTATCTGCTCACACTGAAAGACCGAACCTCGGCAAAACAGCTCTGGGGGCTCGAGGCTGGAAAGCGCAGGAAGCAATTATGCACATATGAACATCTCTCTGGTTTGTGAAGAGCAAATCTCGCCTAGCAAGGTGTGTTTGGCTTTTTTGAGAAAATCCCAGTGAACACGGCTAGGAGGAGAGAGAACACGTCCGACTAATAAAACCACAGGGCCCTAATTACTTCTAAGAGAAGGCTGTGGTGATGAAGATCTTTGTAATTTACATAGCACAAATTCTAGAAAGTCACAGGAGACTCTCCTGGACCTGCACTCTGCTTTGAGCCGTTTCCCTGGCAGGCCCCTTCGCGCTTTGTCTCTGTCTCTCAAGAGCGAAGGTCTGTCAGCTCACCGAGATGTGAAACTGGAACCAAGCACTTGGAGCAGCACCAACACCTCTTCCCAACTCATCCCGCCTACAGGTTGCACCAAAATGTCCGTGTTCTCCTGTTGGCCAGAACCTTGCTATTCTCTAATGAAACCAACGTGCTCATCTTTCCATCTCATTTTCAAAGGTCCCAGAGACATTTCAAGTCATCTGCTGTCTTCTCTCCACTCCCACTCTGTGATATTTGGAGCTTCTGCAATTCTCTTGGTCCAAGTCCCCTCAAGCTACAAGCACTGTCCTGTTCTTAATGGGAGCACTAACCTGCTTTCTTTTTCTCTCTCTGGTCAGATATGTGCAACTCTCCAATTCAGGGATCCTTGGATTTTCTCATCGGTAAAGAATCAGACAACACAAGCCTGTGTAGGCCATGTCATCTCTGTGGCCGTCACCAAAGGCTGAGAGGCAGCAAGGATGCTGACAAGGCATCAGCTCATGGGCGTGGCTCTCCTATAGTAATACGATTTATAGACACTGAAATTTGAGTTTCCCAGAATTGTCACATGTCAGGAAAGAGCTTACTTTGGAATTCTTTCAAATATAAACACTATTCTTAGATTATAAGTCATAGAAAAACAGGCAGCAGGCCAGACTTGGTCCCCTGGCCACAGTTATCCAATTCCTGCCCTAATGTATCTGAACTGCCCTTTTATGAACTATTTCCAGAGTGAAGACAGGTTGCAGGAAGGAAAGAGCCGGGAAGAAAGCCACCAAGCATCACCGTAGGGACACTAAGCCTGCCCCTGTGCCCCTCAGATGTAGGAAGGGGAGAGCAAAGGGAGGGGAGGTTAACTTGTATGAACCGAGAGAAAGTAGGATTTGGCTTCTAAGGGGTGTTGATTGGCTAGAGCTTTTGGAGGGAGGGGGAACTGTGGGCCCTAGAGCTATGGAGGTGCAGAAAGTCTTCATTTATATCACACTGGGCATGCAAAAGTCTATCAGGAGGAAGGACCCTGCAGAGGGGAAGCTATGGTACGAGCTGTCTTGGCACTGGGCTGTGCACTTCCCTCCCTTTAAAGTCTTCTGAGCGATCCCTCAGACTCTGCAGGGAATTGAAGATGAAAGCGGCTGCAGGGGAAGCAGAACCTGGAGCGTCATTGAGAGATTGCAAAAACAATGCACTGCCAACAGACTGTCCCAGCAGGGTCCCAGTGCCATGGTCATGGCCCTGATTGCTGCACTGCCCCTCGGATGCCCAATCAGACAGAATGGGGTGAAGGGAATTTAACACAGCTCCCCTCTGTCTTGTCATAACCACTGCCCCAAAATGAACAGCATGGGAAACTGAGTCTAAGCTTACAAGTCAGTCCTGGGCAAGCTCCCAGCCCTCTCTCACTTCAGGGGGCTGCTCTGTGCCTGGGGCTGGGGGGGCTAGGACAGAGTGGGAACGTCTCACACTCAATGGCTGGAATCAACCGTAACTACAAGGACCCAGGAGTAATTTGGTGGGAAACTTCCCTGTGAATTTCCACGCAGGCTAGTAGATGAGCCAACTTGGCATGACATGAATCCTAGACGTGAACTAAGGAAATAACAAAAACAAAAACTGAGATAAAATAATGTTCAAGGGGACAACTTTGTAACTTCAATGGTGAGATGTGGAATGTAAAACAAAAACAAAAACAAAAACAAACTGGCTCCCAACTCCTCCACCAAAGGGGAATTAGGTACATTCAATCCAGGCTCATCTTACCCTGAACCATGATAATGACACAAACAGAAACAAAAATGAAGACTTCTAAACAACTACTTCTTAACAAAGCTTGGTTCAGAAGCTTGTTAGAGGAGATGGGGTGGTGTGGGAATGAGATGGAACCAGGAGAGGAGACATTTAAATATGGTGGTGGTGCCACGCAGGTCAGGAGCCCTGCAATGGAGCCTTGGGCACAGGCAGAAGCTGCTCAAATCCATGACCTGTGGTCCTGGCCTCCCAGGAAATCGGGGAGTTCTGCCTGCATCTCACCTAGTCTCCAATCTGTGAGTTCACACTGTTGCCAGTGAGCAGGGATTCAATGATGCAGCCAGCTTGGAGAGAATATGCAAAGGGAAGCCTTGCAGACCAGTCATTTAGGGTGCTTAAAGCCCCCAGGCACTGACAATTTCCCATGCATGTGCATTTTGCCTCCCCAAGATCAGTGATTTGGATGCTTTTGCTTATCTGGCCCCCTCACTCCCCGTCTGGAATCTTGGCAAGGATGAAAAGCTTTGCCTTCTCCTTTTCCCGGTCCCCTTGGAGATTTGGGGGGGCAGCAGGAATACTGGAGAGCACTCGTGTCCCTGGAGGAACAGTCGGTTGCAATGCACGACCGTCACTATAGATCTACGAGTTATGAAAATAAAGCAATATGTGCCTGTTTCGGTGCCTGCCGTTTGCCTACCAATGGTGCAGTGTTCACCATTCCAGCCCTCTCGGCATTCACATTTGCCATCTTTACAGGTCCCGTGCTCAATGCAGCGGGGGTGGCACACGCGCTGGTCACAAGCTGCACCTGTCCAGCCCTCTTCACAGCGGCAGGCTCCCCCGATGCAGACGCCGTGAGTGCCACAGTCTACTGAGCACACTTCTGGAAGAAAAACAATGATTACAGCTCAACACCACAGCTGGCGAAACCCTCCACGGAGGGAGGCCAGACCATGCACACGGCCCCGGGCACCTAGAGCAGGCCCCGAGGCTCAGGAGCTACGTCCACTGGCTGGGAATCACTTCACTGTGACGTTTTCTTCTAGAGCCATGGTTCTCCAAGTGCAGCTGCTGGACAGGTGGCATCACCATCACCTGGGAGCTTGTTAGAAATGCAAATCCTCCTACCCCAGGTGGAGCAAGAGGACTAGAAATTCCAGGAGTGAGGCTCAAAGATCCACAGTAACAAGTCCTCGGGTGATTCTGTGACTCCCTAGGGTGTGAGACCATCCCAAGGGGAGGGCAGGCAGTGGCTCCAGTTTGGCCAAGCTGACCAGGAGGTACCCACCCCATCAAAGACCATGTGGATCCTGCATCCCTGTCCAGCTGGGAATCTTCCCCTCTTGAGAGCTCGAGCTGACCGAGCCCAGGAAGCCAGTGGGGGACCCGCTTCTTCCACCCCACCATGACTATACAACCCCCGTCACCCACATCGGCACCTTGGCGGACAACAATGGTGACCGCCGTAACCGTGCTGCACTTACACAGCTTCTTTCTCAAAGGAGCTCAAAGTCTTTTGTGGTTGGGGAGGAGACAGACAGACAGATATGCACGCTCTGGCGCTCCAGACCTCTCACGCGAGGACAAGCACATGCCAGACATTCATCCTTACAACAGCCTGCTGAGGGAGGCGTGGCTCGTCATGCCAGGGGAGGGGCACGGGCCAGGGCCCGTGATGGGCGACTCACTGCAAGTCACAAAGCCCTGTCTGTTACCCTGGATCTAAGCTCTCCGCCTTCCACCGTCCTCTGCAGAGCTCAGCCAAGACCGCCAGCATCAGAGTTGAAGCCAGAGTCAAGGGGGTTGTGCAAAGATCCCCAAAATAGCCCCTTTTAACTGACTCTCTCTTTTTGGAATGAAATATTCATTTCTTTTCCCATTGTAGGCAGAGCTTCGCAGATATTCCTTTCCCAATTGCCATGGCAATGTGACGCTGTCTCACTACCCAGAAGAAGGGGCGGACCGATGATGGCTTGCTTGGATAGGCACTTGTCAGTGTGAAGGGAATCTTTCTCAGACAGGCTGGGACCGCTTGAACTGTTGACCCGTTCCATTTTTAAGGTCACTCAGGAGGCAAGACACATACTCTTAATTTTAAGAAAAAAAAAAAAAGCTTATAGCACAACTTCATGATTTTCCTGGCAGTGGAGTAGTACAGAGCCTGACAGCACGTTCACACAGCACCCCGAGGGAACGTCTTTTCCGCTCTATAGGACGTGCTACTTGGTTCACCTGGGACTGGATGGTATTGCTTTGTTTTCTGGGATCTTTAGGGAGTGTACATACATGAGAAGCTACAGTGCAAATGGAGGTATCCGTCTCAGGCCCCATGCCTGTTTGTGGGGAGGGAACCAAGGAGGCATGGGAACCGACCCAGTGCTGGTTTGTTTCTCAAATATCACAGACTTCACAACTGAGAAGACAGTGAGAAAGGTACTCGTGACTGACCCAAGTCCCTTGAGCCCCAGCTCCATGTGAAGTGTGGGTTCCCATCCGCTGGGAGAATGGGCTGGAACCCAGGGCACGAGCGCTGGGGAAAGCGAGGAGGACACCTCTGGGCTTACCAACGGAGCAGTCGGGGCCTATCCAGTTGGGATCGCAGCTGCAGAGGCCTGTGTCGGGCAGGTAAGTGCCATGCCCACTGCACTGGTCAGGGCACTGGACTCTTGCCAACTCACAGTTGAGACCACCCCAGCCAGGGCTGCAAAGGCATTCTCCATTCACACAGACCCCATGGCTTGAGCAGGTGGGATCCAGGCAATCAACTGGAAAAAAACAAAGAGGAAACAGACCGGTTACTTCTAGGGGATCTGCCTCAAGACAGGGTTTACTGTTCAATGGACCTGTGGTTCAACAATTTGTGGGCACCTGCAGGCAAACAGGTAACACTTCATGGTCTCTTTGAAGAACACCAATAAAGAAATAAAAGGCTGTTTTGTCAAAACACCCAACCACCAACTTGAAGAAGATGTTAGAGATCAAAAGGGGGTTCTCAAGCAGAATCAGGAGGAATCAGAGAGAGACTCTATGTAAATACAGAGGTATGCCATTCAACCTTTAAACCTTTGTACTTGTGAATCTTAGTACCTTGTCTAAACCTTCTCAGGAACGTGAATATCTGTGATGTCTCTACACACACCCCCAAACCCGATCACTCCTCACTGTCACTGAGAAAAGAGACGTAGTCTAACTTCACTAATACTTGACTTCAAAAGGGAACAAAAAATGAAAAAAAAAAAAAAAAAAGGAAACCACTGAAACTCATAAATGAGTCACTTTCCTACTTAATCTTCACTTAGGCTAAGTCTAAAATTAGTTTTCGTTTTCTGGGCACACATCTGCTGAAGGAGGTAGTACACGTGCATGGGAGAAGAGAAGCTGGGTGTTGAACTGACACAAAAGGGGCCAGCCTTCCAAGGGAAGTTCACGAGTAGACTGGGCTGGGGAGGATTCCTGGTCTTGCCACTATCCTTCCACCAGACGGTCAACTGGACAGTTAATGATCAGATTCTGGCCACTGTCATATCACCTCTTTCACCATCTGTTAGTCTGTCCATCTGAATAATCGGCGGGGACATACACACAATACCCTGAAGATTACTGCTCAGAAATCTACTCAGGGTGAGGAGAGGCCAGGACCTTCTGGTGTAGATGTGATCTCCAACCCTGAATGGCCATTTAGCCTAAGCGCTGGATACAAAGGGCAATGCAGAGGCAAAACAGCTTCGGCATGAAGAGGGGTTTGAGTGAGGAATGGTGCTTCTGTAGGGCTCAGATGTTGAGTTAGGGTCAGAGACATGTGGAGGTCTCATCACCATGCTGGACTAAAACATGTATTTCCATCATTTTAGCAGCTTTGAAATCAGGCCTGCTGGCGTCAGTGAAAGCACTGTTACTGCCCCCAACTGGGGGCACAGCCAGCACGAGACTACTCTAAATTCTTTTCTGGATGATTTTTGGATTATGCTTAGAATGTAATTCAATCCCTTATGGGTACACGTGCCATCTTGTGGTTCCAATTCTTAGAGAAGTTTCTGCTTTCTCTTTTTGCCCAGGGACAAGACCTAAACATTTAAGACTTTTGGTGTCTTAAGAACTCACTATTACACTGAGATCAAAATTCCTTAGGGCCCCAGCTTGTTGTAGGGGCCCCCATTACATTTACCTTGTTGGGCATCTTTTTTCTCTCTTATGGAACACAAAATAATGGTAGAGTTTAATGCTATGATACATTGACTCAAAATATGGTGCTATTTAGATCATCCATTTAGATCATCACAAACTCTCTGGTTCTGGGAACATCAGATTTGAGGGCTTTGGACTTATTAAACTCAGGGGCTGGCATTGCGGCATCGAGGGTTAAATCTCCACCTGCAGTGCTGGCATCCCATATGGACACCAGTTCATGTTCCAGCTGCTCCACTTCTGATCCAGCTCCCTGCTAATGTGCCTGGGAAAGCAGTGGAATATGGCCCAAGTTCTTGGGGGCCCCTGTACCCACAGGGGAGGTCTGGAAGAAGCTCCTGACTCCTGGCTTTATCTTGGCCCAGCCCTGGCTGTTGCAGCCATTTGGGAGGTGAACCAGCAGAACGAACATCTCTCTCCCCCACTCAGTATTTCTGCCTTTCAAATAAATAAATAAATCTTTAAAAATCCCAATCACTATATTCCATAAAGTTCCATAAAGTGCCCTTCCCTTGAGGCAAATATAACAGTTTTCAGTGTTCAGAGATGTTTTTCAGGATTCCCATTTGGATATTCTCAGGAAGGTATTATTTATGGAAGTCAGTTCCAAAGTGTTTGAGCCATGCGAAATAACAGCGAGTGTTTTGCTTAAAAAAAAAAAAAACACCCTCAGAAAGGTGAATTTTATGGATTTATTATTTGTTGGCAATATTTATGATGTTGTTGATCTTATTTTAGTGACTTTAAAGTTGACTCACTGTTTTGGGAAATATAAGTACTGATGACACAATCCCTTCTCACACCTACAAATCTGTTTCATTTAGGATAGTGGGAGAACACATAGATTTTCAAATACATGGAAGATATTACTAGGCTGTTTCATGCCTTGCATTGCAAAGGGAATATAGATGCTCAACACACAACTGCATTTGTTGTGACTGGGACAAATTTCCAGTGTGAAGGACTGGAAATTAGAAAGAGAAATAGAGACATTTTCGCTTTTGCAAACAGTTGATCTTAGGAGGCCCGTACAATACGAACTAATTCATTCAGAACCTCTAAATAAAGGAATTCCTGAAGTTCTAGTTTTTCACTCTGTCCCCATTTCTGATATAGTCCAACTGAAATATACACAAAAATATCTTATGCTATTGCCTCAAAAACTTCTCTCAATCTATAATTAGTCATTTAAACTGTTCGGCGAGGTACCAATATCTGGGCACCTTCAAAAAATACATCATAATCTTTTTCTTAAAAGGATGAAATAATAAAAAGTAATACACCAAAAAAGGGCACTTTTCTTCTAAATGACTTATCTCTCTTCTCTACTGTGAATTATGGTGCAAAGAAAGAGGGAAGTTCACTGGGACTTATTAGCGCAGTACTCGAATGCCATCAAAGAACCATTTCTTTTGTGAATTGCACTAAGCTGTTTCTCTGATCAGTGATACAGGTACGTGCGTCTCTAAATAATCACAGCAGCTGGTGGAATAACTAAATTCAACCTTTAAGGGAAGCAGTTCCACTTTTCACTGTGAATTTTAAATTTGGTTCCAATTTCATAGGTCAGTCTTGTGGCCACATCCTCAAGAGTCTTTACCAGGTGGGAGGGACTGCGGCCTTTACAAAGCTATATAAATAGAAACAGGGTTACACTAAAAAGGGGGACAGTGGCCTTTAGAAGCCAAGTACCGTGAGCCTTGAAACACCAGCCCCCTGGCAGCTGAAATCATTAGAACTCATTTAGTCTTGGGTCCTCTGTAGGTTTGACAAAAAAGGGTTGTGAATGCAATTTCTATCCCTAAGGATAAAAAAGGAGGTCAAGGAGTTTTACAAACAATATGTACTATAAGCCCCCGAAGAACCATGAATTACATTTATGAAGTTAAATGTCATTGAAAAATGACTCAACCATGAAAATGACATGAAAACATGGCTGACTTAAACTAATATGTCAGTTCCTCTCTCATCACCTTCCCACTCCCCCAGACATCATTGAAAGAAACCTCACGAATACGTCCTTTCATTTTCTTGTGCAAATCCGTTAATAGCACGGCAATATGTATGCAGCAAAAAATGGAGGATGGCAACTATTGATTGCGTTGCCGTGGTCATTTCAGGTAAATTGTTTGAATGTTCTGACTATGATGGATATCAGGAATAAAAAAGCTAAGTGGAAGAAAAAGTGCTGATCGAGACTTTCTGATTCCATTTCCTATTTTGAAAACAGCAAATGAATCACCTCGGTTCATTCTTTTTGGGTCTCAGAAATCAATAGAAATTCCATCCTTTCATAATGCTGCATGTAGCTTACTTGTTTTGTTGGATGCTTAATTCACTCTGAACATTTAAATAAGACTGGTTGGAATGGTAAGAAAGTTGAGAAATCACTTGAAATTCCGTACATACAAATGTGCACAATCTCCTGGAGAGAAAAAAATTCTAAGATTGGCAATGTCACTGCTTAGCCCTTTCCTCAACCAAATGATGTATGCAGAAGGTCGTTTTAACCTTCCTTGTCACATTACTGGCCTCTCCCATGTTTTCAGCAAATGCAGCTTTGCCTCCTGCAATCCATTTATCTTTAAGAACTTTAACCTTTCAAGCAGGGTTATTAAATCTGTATTTCTCCATCCAAACTCCCAATTTGGTTTTATGATGCAGACATAAGGAGGCTACCTTTTATAATACAGGAAAAAATATATAGAGAATTGAGCAGGTGAAGATCTGGGGGTCAGACTTCTAGGCCCCATTAAGGACATTAGTTCTGATATATTGAGACATCGCAGAAGAATAATGCCATGGAAGCTGACTCTTTATACCCACAGTTCTAAAAACCATGAAAAGGGGTATTTCACAAGATAAACTTGTGTGGGGTATGTAAGGATAAGACACTGCCATCACTCTATGTTGAAGCTTGTAATGATCGATTATTTTGCACAGAGTTGTGGGGATCCATGTTAATGGGATGGCGCATCTGAGAACTTCATGGAATCTGAGATCCCTTATTCTTTGCATGCTCATGAGAGGTGGATTGAGAACTGGGGAAGATGGCACCCAACAGGATCTTGTTCTTTTTTTTTTTTTTAATATTTATTAATTTATTTGAAAGGCAGAGTCGAGAGAGAGAGAGAAGAGAGACACACAGAGAGAAATCTATTCTCTGGTTCACTCCCCAGATGGCTGCAATGGCTGGGGCTGAGCCAGGAGCCAGGAACTTCTGGGTTTCCTATGTGGGTGCAGGAGCCCAAGCATTTGGGCCATCTTCCACTGCTTTTCCCAGGCCATTAGCAGGGAGCTGGATTGGAAGTGGAACAGCTGGGCCTCGAACCAGGACCTATATAGGATGCTGGTGCTGCAGGTGATGGCTTAACCCACTGTATTACAGCCGTGAACCCTAACCAAGAGTATCTTTTGTATCCTGGACAGTCACCTCAAGCTGTTCCACACAGAGTAGGCGAGGGACTTTATGTTTTCCTTGTGTTTGATGAGTAATTTGACATTTCTGTTTCCACCAGGAACATGGGAAGGAAAGGGGCTGTTTGAGTGTGTGGGGACATTTCAGTGGGAGGTGGACTTAGAGAAAAGGAGCTGAGCTGGAAGACACAGGCGGACCCAGTTCAGAGGTTGGGGAGTGCTGAGCTTCTGCTCTTATGTTCCTACCCTACTAACTGTGGTTGATTCTCGACAGTGAGAAGCAAGAGACAAGCAGCCTGAGACCATGTTCTGGAAGAGAAAACCAGGAGGGGAAGGCTGCAGCCAGCCTGGTCACTGCAATTGTATCCCAACTCCTTGTACCAAGTCACTCTTCAGAAAACACTAAGCATAGTACCTCGGACCGGTGAGAGGTGACTGCTGAATGCCTGCTGTGCCTTGTCTTCTCCTGTGGCCCCCTTCCCTCACCCCCAGGTGGATCTCTGACTGTATTTTGCTGGATGAGATTCAAGGTATGATGGTCTTGATTTTCGCCCATGTGTGCTACTGTGGGCTCCTTGGGGTTCACTGAATCTCAGCCCTTTTGCTGTACTTGCCTCTAATTCTGTGTGGTTATAGGAAAGCAGGAGAATTTGCCCTACAGGGTAGCTCTAAATGACCTGAATACCTAAACCTGACTGCTTTCTACTACCACTCATTTTTGCTGAAATACTTACACAGGTATATATGAGTCTTAGATTACTAGGAAGTTTTTTTTTTTTTTTTTTTTTTTTTTAAACACAACTCTGAGGCAGATAGGAGACCTAGGGTTCTCATTTCTCTTCTCCGGATAGCTTTTGTAATTCCCAATTTGGAAGACTTTAAATAAAGCAGAAAAGGAGGGGGAAGATAGAGAAAGGAGGAAAAGAAAGAGCAGGAAGAGGGACAGAGAAGACAGAAAGACAAAGGCAGAGAGCAATTTTAAGAGAAAAACAAAGGACAAAGAGGAAAAAAACTATTTCTGTAACAGGATACAATAAATCATTCCTTCTCGAACCATCTCTACAGACGTTTTCTGTTCTACAGTGGGAGAAGTCTGGCAAAGCCAAGGGGTTAGACGTTGTCCAAATGTTGAAGCATCCTTTGCAAAACATGGAGCAAAAAACTGAGCAAAAAATGGAGCAAGATCCTTTGCCAAAAACTGGGCGCACCTGCGAAGGTCAGGCACGCAGAAGCCTCCCCTCTGCCCAGCCCGGGCCCTTCCCATGGGGCTTACCTTCCTCACAGTGCTCGCCTTTGTAGCCAGCAGAGCAGACACAGTTCCCGTCAATGCAGGAGCCGTGGCCCCCGCAGGAAGGATCGATGCACTGATTCATGGGCACGTCGCACTCGGCGCCTTTCCAGCCGCTGTAGCACTGGCACGTCCCCTTAGAGTACTGTCCATTCCCGCTGCACAGGACGGGGCAGGCGGCTGCAATGACCAACGACAGAACACCAGGTCACAAGGGGTGTGGGAGGGGCGCAAGGGCAGTGTCAGTCAAGAGGACGAGCCTGCCTGGCATCCTGGCTTTGCTTACAAGGTGCGAAGCTGGGGACTTTGGCCAATGAGGTACAGAGCCAGCTTCAAACAAGTAACAATAAAACTATCAGCAACAGCAGCTTCCACAAATGAAACCCATACTGGGTGCCAGGCAAGGTCATGAACGCCCTATATGCAGTTTATTTCTTAATTATCGTAAACAGTCTATGGATTGTGAAGAGCAGGGGCTGCAACCATGATGCCCATTTCACGGATGAAGTTTAGACAGGTGAGAGTTCTTGCCTGCCCTCAAGAAGCTCCCAAGAAGGGAGGCCAGCAGGAAGCCAGAAGAGCCCACCTAGGACATCTAATGACACGCCCTTACCCCTGGGGGTCAGAGTCCACTTTGCTGATCATCTATTTTTTTTTTGAGATGTATTTATGGAGCCTGTGTTGTGGTGCAGTGGGTTAACCCACCATTTGTAATGCCAGCATCCCATGTAAGAGTCAGTTTGAGTCCCATTTGTTGCTCTTCCTATCCAGCTCCTTGCTTATGCTCCTAGGAAAGCAATGGAAGATAGCCCACGTGCTTGGGCTCCTGCACCCGTATGGGAGACCTGGACGGAATTCCAGACTCCTGGTTTCAGCCTGGTCCAGCCAAGAGAGGGAGACAGAGACAGGTAGACAGACAGACGGACACACACTCACACACACACACAGAGAAAGAGAGAGAGATCTTCCATCCACTGGCTCACTCCCCTATGGCTACGATGCTAGGGAGTAGGGCAGGGCCAAGAGCCTAGAACTCCATCCAGATCTCCCACATGAGTGGCAGGGCCCAAGCACTTGGGCCATCTTCTGTTGTTTTCCCAGGTGTGTTAGCAGAGAGCTGGAGTGGGAGTGGAGCAGCTGGGACTCAGGCTGGCACTCACATGGGATGTCAGTGTCACAGGCAGGTGGAGCTCAACCCCCTGTGCCACCGTGCCGGCCCCTGCCGATTAGCTTACTCTCATATGGTTCAATGCCTGTCCCTCCTAGGTTCAACTCCCTTAAAAAGCAGGTGGACGGGACACAGTGGAGCTGCCAAATCTCTCTACAAGCTTTCTACACCTTGAAGAAGTAACTGTACTGACTTCAAAGTGTAAAGTGTGCAGTCAGGAGTAAAGATGAAATATACCTGGCCTGCTTAGAAAAAAAAAAAAAAAAGGACTGAGGAGGACAGCTGAAAGAGTGAAACCTCAAATTCGGCGGCGTGCGTCTGGTCGGAGACTACCCAGAGCTTTCACCAGTCTGGCCTCTGCTGTGCCAATCCCTCTTTCAGAGCTCATCAAGAACCGGACTGCAGTGACCCCCAGGCTGTGGACTTCTCACGTCAGCACTCACCTAACTTTCCACCTGCCTTCTTATTAGGGCCCAACACGGGAGCCCTGCTCTGGCACTGGGGCTGCCACTTAGAAACCTTCAGAGGTGACCGACAGAGATGCTTCAGCATCTTTGTTTTGGAATCACAGGTTGTGCAAATTCCACGTGTGTGTGTGTGTGTGTGTGTGTGCGCGCACACACATACTCAACCCGGGGATTTCTCTGTGCCATGAAGCGGCCGCATATCTCATCACATTATTTGCTAGTCAAATGCTCCACCCTGGCTTGTTAATATCCTTTCCTTATCATGTTTCTATTTAGTTTTTTTTTTTTAAACTTTACTTATTTGAGGGGCAGAGAGATGGAGAGAGGGAGAGAGAACCATCTGCTCCTTCACTCCCCAAATGAATGCAGTGGTCCTGGCTAGGTTGAAGCTGGAATTGGGAACTCAATCTGGGTGTGCTATGTGGGTGGCAGCAACCCAGTTACTTAGCTATCACTTGTTGCCTCCCAGGGTACACACTAGCAGGAAGCTGGAATCAGGCACAGAGATGTGACTCAAACTTAGGCACTCTGAAATGGAATGCGGTTGCCCAAACTGGCATCTTTAATGCCAGGCCAGATGCCGGCTCCTGCTTAGTTTTTAGAGTCATTAACCTTCCTCTGTAAGTGTCTAATTTCCTAAAGCTATAACAAGCTTCTTGAGGACAGGAACTACGTTTATCATTGGTGATTTCCTTCAAGTGCTACATTTATCAACCTTGGCTTGATTAAATAAATATCAGAAGGTACTTCAAAGAGCTAATGGAAAAATGAAGTTAAAAGATTATTTTTGCTGCAAACATTTTGAAGTTCTTGCACAGTTTTTCTACAATATGCATTTTCCATGACTTTAAAAGCAAGATTTATTTATTTGAAAGGCAGAGTTAGAGAGAGAGAGACAGAGAGAAAGAGACCTTCCATCTGTTGAGTCACTATCCAAATAGCCGTGATAGTCTGGGCAAGGCCAGGCCAAAGCTGGGAACTGCAAGGTTGCAGGGACCAAACCCTGAGGCCATTCTCTGTTACTTTCCTAGGCACATTAGCAGGGAGCTGGATCAGAAGCACAGCAGCTGGAACTCAGGGCACCCATAAGGGATTTGGCAGAATGTGACTTAATCCATTAATCCACAATGCCGGCCTTTCCATGAACTTCTGGAATCTCTCTTGTGTTTAATCTATGTTCCCAATATTAAGATTCCCAAGGGGGAATAGTTCTGGACACACCATGTGGCCACTGATGGAAGACATGTAAAGAACAGATTCTAGTGTGCACTTTGAGTTATATGCACAATGTCTTTTTTCCTGGAGAAGTGAGTGTTTTAACTTAACTGCAATCTGATGCAAAATTAAAAATAATCCCAACAGTTGACATATGATTGAGGGGATATTTTGCCCCGGAATGATTTTTAACAGGGCAGGTGTGAGAACGATTTGGGAGCACCGTTTCCAGCAGAATTCTTATCCTTACCAATCTCCCAGAGAAGAATGAGTTCAACAGCGAGAACATCACAGATATGTATGGAATTTAGTTGAACGCCCTCTAAATCTAGGAATGTCCTTTTATTTCCAGGATATTCAAGCAGAGGGTTCCGTCCAGAGTAACCACGGATGCTGATGGTCTAACAGAGGGTGCAGGAAAACGCTTTGACCCCAGAGTGCCTATGTTAAACCATGAGCTAGCACGAGAATTTATGGACTTCAGGTTTTGAGAGGGATGTGGAGACACAGTAAGTTTGTCTCATGTCAGTTCCTCCTGAGTCTCATGAGAAGTTCAAGGTCAGGGATGGCAAACATGTGTCTGTGAAGTACCATTCTCCCTTTCTGTACCTCAACAGGCATCATTCACTGATCATGGTACGCTGTGCCCCTAAGCCTAGACAGAGCCATAAAACCACCAATGATTGTGGTACGCTGCGCCCCTGAGCCTAGACAGAGCCACAAAACCACCAATGCACTTCCCAGATAAGACCTGCAATCTGGGAGCACGGCACCTAAGAGAATACCTATTGATCTGGCAACATGGCAAGTATCTCCCGATGGGAAGACTGGAATCCACACTGTTTCTCATGCCCTTACTATTCCTGCACAAGGAAATAAGAGAAGGATAAGTGTGGCCACACAGTGTGAAGTCACATGAGCTTCCACGGGCTGTTTCCAACCTTAGGGTTATACACTGGTGATATCAACTGTCATGCACAGCAGAGAGCATCACACCAAATCACCACTCCTTGTCCCCCAGTGTACCCTCCTTCATCCCAACAGGTGGAGGAAGGTAGCAGGTAAGGAACAAGTAGTTACTGTCTTTATTAATTGATAAAATGTTATTAGGATTAGTATCTGTACTCAGAGTGAACCTCTTAACCTCCACATGTGGAAAAAAAGATACAACTGTCTAGAAGGTAAGAATGGATTTTATTTAAAATTAGGTACCTGGGAAATCAAATTTACAATGTGACCTACTTAAATTGCTCGAGGAAAAAAAAAGGAAAATGGTCAGGTTAGAGAGTTCTCCACATTCTAGATGCAGCCTTCCTGCAGTGTGTTTGCGGCGCGCTTGCTGGGAGTGTGGTCAAAGACGCAAAACACTGCTACCTTAGCTGGAAAGCAGGGCACTGGATGGGCTTTGCTGATGCCACTGATCAGTGAGTGCAACTCCCTGGCAATCCATTTGTCACCCGGAGAAGCAGGCAGGCAGATGCCAGATGAGCGCCCTCCAGTGGTCACTGGGCTGTCCAGCAGGGAGAACACCTTCCCTCTGGAGTAACTGATTCATTCACAGACATAACTCAACCCAGAGTTTTTACCATACCCAAGGCTCAGCCTGCTCCTCATAGGAGAGGCTGGATGTGATATGGAGAACCTCCTCTAGTCCCAGCTTTTCTTAGGTTTTTACTGTCAAGCAATCCATGTTATTTTTTTAATGACAGGTTATAGAAACACAATCCTGACTCCATCAATACCCTATGAAGAAGTAGTAGGGAGGAGAAATGAAAAAAGCAAGCATTTTGGTGCCACAAAGACTTCGCTTCAAAAACCGCCCTGTCATTTACCAGCTATGGGATTTTAGCAAGATTATTAAATGTCTTGGAGAACTGATTTCCCCTCCAAAAAACTGTCTCTCAGAGTTGGTGGGAGCACTGGGACAACTGGTACAAGATAAGGATTTCCAGTCTGACTTCAAGAGTTAATAAACGATGGCAGTAAGTCTCAAACACCCACCCCCACACACAGCCTCCACCACCAAAAGGCTGTCACGTGACACAAACAGGATGCCCTCATCTACCCTCCCCGGCACCCCCAGCCTTCCCTGGCTATGGGATGCAGTTGGCTCTGAACGCTCAGGAATCCCACGCAGCATGTTCCATGTTCCTGGGTCTCCTTTTCCTATGGAGCAGAACACCCTGCATTCAGACTTCCGTTTAAAATTAATTAAAATGTTTGCACAAACAGACTATTCCTGTTTTACTAAATCTAATAAATGGAAGCGCTAAGACTCCTGCAGAAGAAAAATAAATTACTGCTGCCACTAACGACTGACAAGTTAACAG